GAGAACAATAGTCCTAACAGCCAAACAAACAAGTGGTAAGCAGCCTCATTGATCACACATGTGTCGTCAGAGAAGGAAAGAACGGGAGAGGAAGGAGGAGTAGAAGAAGAAGAGGAGGAGGAAAGAAGAAGAAGAGGAAAGAAGAAAGAAGAAAGAAGGGAGAGGAGAAGAAGGAGAAGAAGAGGAGGAAGAAGGTGACCACATGCACAAAAGACAGAAAATATTATGTTGGTGGACCGAGGCCTGTTGTGGCCTGTTGTGGTCTAATTAACCGGCCCCTCCTAATTCAGAATGATAACAACCAAGAGGGATCTTTGATGATGATAAGGCTAGGATCTCTCTAACAAGGAAAAAAGGGTTCACCTATTGGACTTGTAGTAGAATGTCTACCCCTAGGATCTCTCTCACATAAAAATGCCGTAAGGAGTGAGCAACCTGGAAGAAAAAAAAAAAGTACAATGAAGGCCCCTATGCATGTGAAATCGGTTAGATGCAGACTCTTTTGTGCCTGTGAGACTATGGGCCTGATCCCACTTCTACCTTTTTTCGTAAGAACCCAAAAGAACCACTTTCAGCGGAGCCGGTCCGCAAGGGACGTACAAGTAAAATGGAATCCTACTTGCCCGGTGTTTGAGGTGCTTAGCCTTGATTCTCTTCTCAAATTTTTCCGAATATTTCTGATCTATCCTTGATTTTCTTCTTAAATTTTTCCAAAATCTAATTTGAACATAATTTTTGAAAATCTAATTTGAACATCTCTTTTTCTTAAATAGCATATCTCGTATAAATCTAATTTTTCTTTTTGTAATTGAATTCCTTCTTTTGAGCCGATATGTTGTTTTCCTAATTTGACCTAATTCTACTCAGAATTCTGAATAGGGGGCTCATGAGATGGTCAAATGGAACATCTCGTAGGGTCTAGGGGTTTGGTTTGAAGTAGGGGGTGGAAGGCATCAAAGGATTCTTTGCAAGGATAGAGAGGGGATGAAATAGGGCTGTTCAACGGGTACCGGCTAGGTGGAGCCCTTAACAGATGCGATTGGCGTTGGGTGGTTAGGCTGTCCAATGGGTACCGGCTGTTGAGGGCGAGATTTAGCGCGATTGGCGTTGGGCAGTTGTTCACCTCCTTGAGGACTGGGGGCAAGGAATTTCAGGGTGATGATGGTGCCTGCCCCCTGCTGAGATAAGCTATTCTCTGGGTTCCTTACGAGGACGGAGTTGGGAAGGCGAATAAGGTCCTTCCCTTCGATGATGGAGGCGGGATTTTTCTGGTCGTCTGTTTCAGGGCTTGCTGGTTTCCTATTCTTGTTCTATTTTTCGTCAGAAGTCGTTTTGTAGCCAAGGCCGGGTAATGGCTCCAGCATCTCAATTCCTTCTCATTAAAAAACCTAGCAGAGCATCTTTTGGAGCTTTTGGGGACCTGCTTTGAAGTAAGCGGCCAGGGGCATCAAATGATTCTTTACAAGGACGGAGAGGGGGAGGAAATAGGGCTGCTCGATGGGTCGGCTAGAGGGGCCTCTTATCAAATGCGATTGGCGTCGGGTAGTTTAAGCTGTCTGATGGGTACCGGCTGATGAGAGTGAACTCTGGCGCGACTGGCGTTGGGTAGTGCTAGTTTACCACCTCGACCACGGAGACTGGGATTCTTGTGGGGGCAAAGAATGTCAGGGTGGTGATGGGGCTCAGACCCCGCGGAGAAGAAGTTCTCTGAAGTTCTTCACGAGGACGGAGTTGGGCAGGACAAAGGTGATCGGGATGGAGGAAGTTGTGGTGGATGCGATTGGCACTGAAATTTCGGTGGGTACCGGCCACTGGCCGCTAACGTCACCCGGATCAGTTTGTGCTTCTTCCCTTCGATGATGGAGGCAGGATTGTTCTGTGGGGCTATTTCCCCAAAAAAGAGGTTGAGTAGGTTGAGTAGATGGTTGGGTATCAAGCGTCCTGCTAGTGAGGGGGCTAGCTCGTAGGATGGAAATAGGGTACAACAGCAGTGGAGATGGTGGCTCTGCTGCAGTAAGTCTTGCCGGAGTAAGGTAAAGAGCATTGATGGGGGGGTCTCTGAGTTGTTTTCTGAATTTTGCCTATTCTGAAGTTTTTGTAGTATTTTTTCTTAGTAGATTAAATTCTTCTTAGCCCCGGGATCCTAAACTTTCAAAATTCTTTCAAAATTCAATGTCAACTTTCATATTAGACGCTGGGCCCGGTTCCCAGCACATGCTGCTCCTCACGAATAGATTGGAGCCTTGTTCCCATTAAAAAAAAAAAAGGTGTTTTTTTCGAGGAAACCGGCGGGTTGTTGTGGGCGGGTGTGTGGGGTCGGGTTTCGTGCTGTCCGTTCGGACACCGCGTGGTGTCCTGTGCGGCCCTATAAGAAGTGGTGACTGGTTACCGTTGGGCGGCGCGGCGGGACACACCGTCGGGGTTACGGTACCTTGCCGGCTGTCACACACTGTCCACCGAAGGCGAACATTCCTGGACTACCGTTTGGACCGATAGGAAAAAAAAAAAAAAAAATTGTTTTCGCTACTTATTAATATAAAATACAATATAATGTAAAGATTATAAATAACGCAAAGATTAGAATAAAGTTTCTATTGAATTGGTATTTCCTAATTTCGATTCAATTAATAATAATACTGAATTTCTCAATAATTAAGATAGATAGAAGAGGGAGTCGGCCTGTCCCGAAAACCAAAAGAATTATCGCCCCTGCGATCACGGTCGTGCCTACACGTAGGAGACCGTTTCCACATCCCCAACATTCAGGGGCGGGATCCTACTTTCGTGGAAAGAAGTGGGATCCCTAATTTTTCCTAAAAGTGACGTCCCTGTAAGAAGTTGGATCAGACCCTATGCCTTCAGTTAGATGCCTTCCAGCGATGCGTGATGTGATTTATTATTATTATTATTATTATTATTATTATTATTATTTTTTTTTTTTTTTTTTTTTTTAATGACCAGAACAGATACTACACTTGATCTTAGTGACGGCAGTTAGCAAGCACTCTGTGGTCATGGTCCCATTAGCAAAAGAACATCGGATTGAATGTCTGAATCTATACGTGTTCGAGGACAGGAGCATGAAATCGAGATGGAACTGCTTTTCTGTATCTCTGCATACAACATGGTCAAATTCCGGATTTCTATTCGATCCTCTTTGCTAGTGGGACTATGCCCCATATGATGTGATGTTCATCACCGTTGTTGCCATTTACACATCTGCAATGAAAAAAAGAATAAAGAAGAACTACGATATGGAGGTGAATTCAGTTCGGTACAGGATCTCTAGTACATATAAAAGTAAGGCAACGGTAACGCTACGCTAGCGCATCACTATTACGATGTGCGGGCAGTGGGGGATCGCACGGGGGCAGTTGTGGATAAGTTGCGCTTAGCCAGAACTTGTTGTTGGGTATGGCGGAGGCGGAGAGGTGATAGAGCGTGTGGGTGCTGAGGTGGAGGCCGCTTCGAGGGGGCACAACCATGCACCTGCCATAACCTAATCTTGGCCAACGAAAGTTGGTAATCCTAGATGGGCCGCAGAAGGAAGGAGAGAGATGTGGGGTTGGTCAATGGGCAGGATCTGCGCATCGTACATATCACTATTACTACCTGATCAGGGGTTTTGCCCGCTGATTATAGATACGGAGAACGAATGCGTTGTTGGAGTGGATACAGTTTTATCTGGATGAAGAGCTCGAGATGAAAGACGTGAGTACATCGATAAACGTCGACTTCCGGGAGATGGATGACGGACTTCATGCCGTGATCGGTATCATCCACCGTCGCTGACAACGGACTTTAAGCTGTGAGTGGGGTTGTCCACTGTTGCCTTTACTCCTACTTCGGGCGGGGTGTTGCTTAAGACTTCCTGATTTCTGGTGTTCTGACAGTTATTGACTGTGTTTCCATAAATTGCAAGCGTCGCGAGTATAAATGATTGTGTTTTTCTGATTCTAAACGTTAGGACATGTCTTATTAGTATTTGTGATTGGTATTTTGTGAACTGCCAATTCGACAAGGGTTTTCATAATTCTAATTAGGTGTCAATTTTGTTAGTGTTTTCAATATGATTTTAGAAGTGTTACTTCGTTGGATTACGTTCCCTGTCGGTTTTGCCCATGGGTTGGGTAATTCCATGACATCATTGACTATCCGTGGGTAAGACACTATTGATTTTTTTTTTTTATAGTTGGTAGTGGGTAAGTAGGATGAAACCATTGAATATTTTGTTTATGTGTTGGTTGGTGGTCTGTTATCTAGCTTGGATTCGCTAGATTAGGGTTGTTTCATAATGGTGATTTGGAGAAAGGTGTAGATTAGGATTTGAGTCTTGTTAAATTAGGGAACGTGAATTTTGTTTTAGGGTTGGGATTGGGATCATAGGTTTCGTAACCTTGGTTGGTGGAGATTAAGGTTGTTTGATAATTGTGGTTTGGAGAGGAAGTAGATTAGGATTTGACTTTTGTTAAATTAGTGAACGTGAATTTTGTTTTAGGGTTGGGATTGCGATCCTTGGTTTTCGTAACCTTGTAAGGTTGTGGTAGGGATAGGTTTGGCCGGGAGTGCCTTACTTTGCCCGTTGACCGCAACAAATGATGTAAGGGACACCGGGCCCGTTTCCCGGTTATATGAATAGGAATTGTGTTATTTAAAAAAAAAAAAAAAAAGTAGGCCCTCAGTGATAGAACTTCACACAAGTGACAACACTCGTACAAAGCACCCTACTGCCTCACAGGGCAGGGCACTACATGAAAACAATAGAAAAAAAAACAAAAAAAACTAAAGCTGAGACTATACGTGATATATATATATATATATATATATATATCGTCA